AATATCCAGAGATCCTATTTCCTTTTACCATCAAGATCTATTTTTTTAAAGAGTACTAGCTGATGACTTTGGTTAAGTTCTCATTTGACTTAGAATGTCATTTGGAATTGAGGGACAAAATCCATGAAATGAAAATATGGGTATTAAAATAGAGCAGAAAATGGATTATTTGATTCTGCCAAAAATGCATCTGTTTAGAGTAAAACTTAATAGAATGCTCTTTGGAAAAAAAAATTATCCAGGGGAAGAAACCCAAAAGGTAGCTTTCCCCCCCCTTTCTTTTCAGTTCTTTAACTAGTGAGTGTAGTGCCTGGTGCTCCATAAATAGATGGAGGAGACTAAAAGGTTAATCTGCAGTGATTCATTTTAAAACGTTATAATATGGTTCACTCGTTTTGAAATATTTCTGCTGTGTAAAGAATTTAAAAATAAAATTCTTTCTTTTTGATGTACTTACCTTCTCAAGGTTTTTTTTTTTTTTTTACCTGCAGTGTGTGTACCCATGTGTATACACGTGGGCACATATGAATGAGCATGATGGCATTCTTGTTATTTCTAGGTCTCTGGAAAAATAAATCTGATGGGTCAAATTTTAAAGTATGTTGATTGCCTCTGTTATATAAATAAATCACATTCATCCGTCCATCCTTCATCCAGTTAGTCATTTTTTTCAACATTATGTAGCCACATACAAGGCTGTATGGTAGGTCTGGGGTATGTGACCTAATAGGCCTGGTCCTTGCCCTTGAATGCTGACTGTGTAGTGATGTCAACACCTGCAAAAATTATCTAAGACATTCTTTTGCTTCTGCATTTTTGAGTCATTGCTGACTTGATGTGTGTATGTCTTATTTTTGATACCATATTATTATAGATACTATTATTATCTTGATACCATTATTACGTATTATTTTTGATACCATTTTTTTCCTCCCACTCTTAGATGAGCTTTCTAAGCAAGTTATCTTCCAATCTTATTCCAGAACAATTGGACATTCCAGAATCAGTTGGTGATTCTACGGTAACACAAACTGTCTGCTCTGCAAAATGTCTCCTTGGAGAGAACAAATGCTACACTATATAATTCGTGGGTTTAAAACCTTCATGGTGCCTTAGTATTTACCTCCATTAAAAAGAGCAGCTCAAGGAAATTTAAAATTAATAGATGCTATCTGGCTTGCCTATTGTTATTTTTGAGGCCTGTTACAGAAGAGAAATTATGCAAATGGCTGTCAGGCTGCTGCTACTGCACTCACACTGGGAATGCATTATAATTTGTTTCTCAGAAACACTTATCTGGAGCAGATTGAGCTCTCAGCCATTTGCAGGGCCATGTCCCTTCCTGCAGATGGTCCACTTTGAACTAATAAGTACTATTAGAGGGTTGAGGTAAGAGGTAGGGAGGTAGGGAAGGAAGGCAGGAAAAATTACTGGGACCCCATAATGTGGAAGGGCCAGGGGCAAATCCCTGGTAAAGATGTTTTAGCCAGTCCTCCTGAGCAGGCTGTCAATGACCTTTGAGACCATATCCTTCTTGTTCTGCTCTTTCCTGAGAAAAACTGCCAGGGCATTCTCTCTCAAAGAAAATTTTCACTTTCACTCTACTGCTTATGAGAGAGTGGCTGCTTATCACTTCTGGCATCAAATTTTCATCCTCCAAGCCGCCTGAAAGTTCTCCCATTAACAGATTCCTATATACCTATTCAACTTCATCTCTTGATTATGCCTATGGTCCTTCTATTGAAACCAGTCTTGTTCATATCCTGTTCCTTCCTTCATTCGTTCGTTCATTCATTCATTTATCTGGCAAACAAATGCGATGATCGAAGTTCAGTCCAACTATATGATGCTAGAATTCTATAAGCTGTAATGTGAGCATCTATTATGTGCGCCGTGGGCGATAAAGAACACAGAACACATTAGCCTTATTTTTAAGATTCTTAATGACAGTAAACGAAAATATGACAGGTTGCACTGAGTAGTGGAGACAAGGTCTTCATTCTCTAAACCATGCTCTTATATCTGCATTCTCTGAGTGCTGTTCTTGGCAGATTTCCTTCCCGCCTGTCTACACTAATCCTTTTCACTTCTTCCTCAGAACCGTACCTAAATTTACCTACTCCAGGAAGCACTCTCACTGGAGTCTTGGTTCTGGGTTGAATGGACTCTTCCTCAGAAGTTACGGATGCAGCTAATCCAAAGTTATTTGGCTCTTGCTGTCTGCTGCTTTGCAGGATTCAGCTTATTTCACAGGGGCATCCATGCTCCCTTGGTGGACCAGTAAAGCAGCTCACCGCAGACAGGTGAGCCCTGCCTTCCAGTTCCTAGCTCCTCCTCTGTCCCCTTGGCCCAGGGCTCTGCACACAGTCCAGGGCATGCTCCTGAACGCTGCTGACAGGCACTTTTCTTTCCTTGGGAATTCAGACCAGAAACTTGTGGGTGCGTCCCCGGGGTGCATCTGCCACTTAAAAAAGTGAACCTGCTACAGGCTTTGCCTAGTCCTTGACTTGGAAAAAGATTAGTAGTTGGTGCCATGTCTGGAATGAAGGGCAATGCAACCTAAAGTTGGGGGAATATAAAATTGGAGATATTCCACGATGTGTACCTGGGGTCTGGGAAGATGGTTTTGATTCTGCTGCTCGCGCTGGTAGGAGACACTAAATAGATTAGGTTCGCTGCCGATTAGCATCATGTTAATCTTGGCTGGCAGGGAAGCAAAGCCACCAAGGATTCGGCAGATTTATCAGCCCCTCCCGCCAATAGCTGTCTGAGGCTAACACCACTTGGAACCTGGGTCAGAAAATAGTTCTCGGCTGATGATGTGTCATACATTCTGGCCCATGTGCTCCTCAAAGACACCATTTTCTGGACATGAAGTGTTCTGCTGCTTTTTGGAGGAGTAAGAATCCAATCTCGGATAAGCCGGATTCAGAAAATAGGTCATCAGTGTGAGTTGCAATTACTTTCGTTCCAGCTTTCTTCTCTGCTTGCTTTAGACTGCTTTTCTGCAAAGGGCAGGAGCAGCTGCCTTGGCTGGTGTGCAGTAGAGGAGGGTGAAGGCCACTCTAGCCTCAGGCGCTTGTGAGGGCACCACCCAGATTCCTAGATCCTCAGGGCTACCATCTGCCTTTTGTCGGGGCTGTTAAAGCCCCATTAAAGGAGTGAAGAAATACCCTCCTCAAGTACTGATTTTTCACACACACACACACACACACACACACACACACACACACACAGCGTATTTCATAGCCACTTGATTTGCCACCTGCAGTTTATAATAGAATGGACGTGTGGGATTATAAACCACTTTATTCTGCACAGAATTTCTCAGCTTGAGGCCAAATTGAAGGGCATTAGTTATCAGTAATTTGCAGTTATTTTTAATGTATTTTATTCAGAGAGGCTTAAGGCAGCTGAAGCTAAGATAAATTTCCCCATGCTTTGGTGAGGAAGGGGAAAATCTGCTCATTTAGTTAATAATTTGTCATAGCTGTGCTTATGTATTGCTCCTAAGTGAGTGCAACGTCCTGACTGATTTGTGATTTGGTAACATGACAATCTGAATGATATTAGATAAATTCAATTATGCCACGATTTTTCCCTCTCTCCCCAATATTTGTATAGGTTTAAGGTTTAAAATTCATAGTACTTTAGAGAAGGGAACCTAGAGATGAACTCAGAGATCATGGGAATTACCCAGGGAGCCCTGCCAAATGCCAGTTCCTGCCCTGCCCCAAGATTCAGTGTCAGCAGCCCTGGGTTTGAGCGAGTACTGTGAGTAGTGCCTGGGGCCAGCTTTGAAAAGCAGTGATTAGTTCAACCACCTCATTCTTCAGATTAGGAAACAGAGGAACAAATAACTTAAGAGATATAAGATTCTGCCCAGGGGAGCACCTGGGTGGCTCAGTCTTTTAGGCGTCTGACTCTTGGTTTTGGGTCAGGTCATGATTTTGAGGTTAGTGAGATCCAGCCAGAAGTCAGGCTCTGTGCTTATAGCCTAGAGCCTCCTTGGATTCTATCTCCCTTTTTCTCTGCTTCTCTCCAGGCGCACACACACACACACACACACACACACTCTCTCTCTCTCTCTCTCTCTCTCTCTTTCAATAAGTAAATAAGTAAGTAAGTAAATAAATAAATAAATAAACTTAAGGGGAAAAAAAGATATTGCCCAGATTCCAGAAATACAAGGTCTCCTGCTTTCCAGTTCAGTGCATATTTCACCAGCCACGAGAGAAATCTCTGACTTCCCCGGCTCTGGATGTAGTCTACCACTGAGGTGGTAGTGAAGACCTGGCTCCCTTCACTGGCAAGTGCAGGGGGGAGGGAGATATTCCGGTGAGCCTCGCGGCTGCTTCCAGGCCCCTGGGTCTTCCTGGTGAGCAGGGTGCTGTATGTAGGGTCTCTCCCTGCACCCTCGCTGCAGCAGGGCCACTTGCCCAACTGGAGGTCCAAGATAAGACTCAACAGCTCAGAAGCACGCAAACCAACGTTTTATATATTTTTTTTTTTGCTGCTGCTTCTTGCAACTCCCCAGGAAGGGCCCCGCTCTGCACAGGGGCCTCTTACAAAGCTCACCTCCTTCGGGCAGCGTTCCTCCTCACTCCTATCCCAATCGTGACCACTGTACCTCTGCTGGTGATGCCTCAAGGAACCCCAGCCCAATCTAGCACACTCAGCCCACCTCCTCGGGCTCCACCGTGAGCATGGTGGTTCCAGAAGTTTCCCTGGCCGAGGTACGCCAGCGGAGCCCTTAAAAGTAGGAAGGAGCAGGAGAATGCAAGGGTAACCTGATGCCTGAGGTGGGAAGGAATACAGAGCATTGGGCCAATTGCAAGATGGCAGACGGTGGGCGAGAGACGAGCAGAAGGTGCGGCCTCAAAGGGAGAGGGGTCTTCCGCGCCAAGGTTGGAGGAGGCTGGATCCTGTTCTAGTTACAATGGCATTTTATACAACTTTGAGAAAGATCCCACTCGTAGCTGTGTGGGGAACAGACTGGCATGGGGGGCAGGCAGGGAGCAGAACTGAGGCAGGGACAGGAAGGGAGCCCGGCTGTGGGCCAGGGGAGTCGAGAGTGGCTTGGACACCTGGTGCACGTGCCTGGCCGCGGTGGTGAGCGGTCAGTTTTCTCATTTGCCCAAAAGGCTGTGTGACGGCCTGCGGTGGCCCTGGTGGTGGTGGTGGTAGTCGTGACCGATATCCAGATACAGGAACATATGTTTAGAGTAGAGCTGACAGGGACTTCTTGATTGTCCACAAGGAGTGCTAACTGGTTACTTATGTAACATGTGAAATAATTTGGAACGTGTTAGAAAAAGAAATCTTGTAAATTTGAAAGATTTTCTTCCCATCCATACAGAGCCTTCAATGATCAAATCGTATAGTTTTCCATTTTGATCCATGATCTAGCTTGTTGACTGTCTTAATCAGTTTGGGTGATTACAACAGAATATCATTAACTGGGTAGCTTAGACAACAGAAATTTATTTCTCATAGTTTTGGAGGTTGGGAAATCTAGACTGGTGTACCAGAACAGTTGAGAGCCCACTCCCTGGTCTGCTTTAGCCTCACATGGCAGGGATAGAGCAATCATCACTTTAGGGTCTCTTCTTATAAGGGGATGAATCCCATTCATGAAGTCTCCATCCTCATGACCTAATCATTTCCCAAAGACCTCACCTTGGAACACTATTATACTGGGGGTTAGGGCTTCAGTGTATGAATTTTGGGATCATACTGATAGGTAAAAAGGTCTTATTTACCTGCCTAAAAATAATTTCACTTGTGGAAGCAATGGTACTTTACAAAAACCATGAGTAGCTGAAAAAGCATGAATAAATAGAACATGTCCTGTAAAATCCTTGTTTTTACTGAGAAAAATAATTGTAATTTTCTCTGGTGAAATCTTGTGCTGGAGGGTGAGAAATCATTGCTTATATTCTATGGATTGAATCAATTGTTAAATAAACAAATCGAAACGAAAATAGTATCTATGGCAATTAGTGCTTAGAAGAAATAAACAGGATTATCTGAGAGAAAAAACAGGGGAAATTACATGGGGTGTTTTTAACTCATCTCTACCATTGTTTCTCAAAGTGGGTGTGGAGTTGAGTGGGAAACGTTAAAAATTACTTGAAAGTCCTTGATAAAAAATAGATTCCTCCACCCACTCTTGACTCAATTGCTGGGGAGTGGGCCCAGAAGTTCCATTTTAAATAAATTGCTGAGGGATTTTTATGAGTGTTGCTGGGTCCTTTCAAACTGTCCCAGTTGTGGTTCCCACTCTAAGTCCTCCATTTTCCAGTCTCTCTTTTGCTTCATCTGCCTGGCAAGCCTTCTGCTCATCTGTGTGTCCAGCTCCAGCTTCCCCTTTAAGGCCCAAGTCAGATGTCATCCGCAGATCATCCTGGATGAATGGACCGTCTCCCTCCCAATGTCACTTATAGTTAGTCTGTAGTCTACAACCTATACTGTATACCTACTGCTGTATAGTAACTTGTGCTAAAGCTGTATCCTTTCACTGTATGAACCATATGCCCACCTGGGTCAGGACTGAGTCTGATTCATTTTAAAGTCTTTCAGTGGCTTGCTCAGAGTGGGTGCTTGGTATATACGTTGTGGAATATCTGGCTAAGCTCAGACCTCGCTCTCTGCACTTAGGACTTCTACCACTTGACGGTGTTCTAAATGTACCAGTCATAGCAGGCCAACATTGTACTGAGATTGGACAACCAGTTTTGCATTCAAGTTTATCTTTTAAATGAAGGCAACTCTTCATCACTGAAGAGTGATGAGTGAGAATGCAGTGATTTCTAGCCGGCTGCTGTGGATGCACCCTAAAAGGCTCCCAGTTGCAATATAATTAAATGAGGGCTCCCTACAACTGATGTATTCAACAAGACAGAGCACTTTGCTCTGAAAAAAAAATCCATTGTGATCATACCTTCTGGAGATCCTTTTTTCCTGCAATAACTTTGCTTTTAAGGGATCTTCAAGTGACCCCTCCTCCAGTCTACTGTCTGTGTAGCCACTAAAGTAACCTGTTAAAACATGTCAGATTATGCCCTTCCTGCTCAGATCCCACCAATGGCTTTTGATCTCGGTCTAAGTAAAAGCCAGATCCTTACCTTACAAGGGCTGAAAAAGACCTATGTGATTTATCTGCTTCTCCTTCACACCATCTCTCTCTGACCCCACCCTACTTCTCTCCCTTCTCTTCTCTTATTCCCGTGTAGCTGCAACTGGCTTCTTGCTATTCCTTGAATATGCTAAGTAAACTCCTGCCTCAGGGCCTTTGTACTTCCTGTACCATCTGTCTGTAATAGTTTCCCCCCAGATTTTTACTCTTTCATCTTTTTCTTGTCATTTCTTAAGTGTATCCTGCTAAGTGAGTCTTCCTTGGTCCTGTTAACACCCCGCCTGCCACCCACTCTGACTTTCTAGTCACCTTTCCTACTTTATTTTTCTCATAGCAGTTGATTACTACCTATCATCTATATATATTATTCTTACTTATTTTGTTGACTGTCTCTCTCTCCCTCATAGAATATAAGCTCCATGAATTCTTTGTCTGTTTTTTTTTTAATGTTTTTATTCATATTTGAGAGACAGAGAGAGACAGAGCACTAGCAGGGGAGGGGCAGAGAAAGAGGGAGACACAGAATCTGAAGCAGGCTTCAGGCTCTGAGCTATCAGCACAGAGCCCTACCTTGGACTTGAACCCATGAACTGTGAGATCATGACCTGAGCTGAAGTCAGTTGCTTAAATGACTGAGCCACCCAGGTGCCCCATGGTCAATTTTGATCATTGTTGTATCTTCAACACCTAGAGACATGCTGGACACATAGCAGATGCTCATTAAACATTTTTTAAAAAATGTTTTATTTATTTCTAGGAGAGAGAGAGAGAGACAGCGTGAGCAGGGGAGGGTCAGAGAGAGAGGGAGTCACAGACTGAAGCCGGCTCCAGGCTCTGAGCTGGCAGTCAGCACAGAGCCCGACGCGGGGCTCGAACCCACGAACCGCGAGATCATGACCTAAGCGAAAGTCGGACGCTTAACCGACTAAGCCACCCAGGCGCCCCTCATTAAACATTCCTTAAATCAATGAGGCAGAATGGTTCTGTATCAGCTTCTTATCTGTAAAATAGAAATAGTAATAGTTACTGCATCATGGAGGTATGGCATGTGGTATAATGTGCAACATCCAGTATTTACTCAGTGAATGTTCCCTATTATAGATGAGGTTGAGGTTTTACAGGTTACGAAAAGAATATCCAGTGGTGATATTCCTCTTTTCCAGGTAGTAGAGTTTTCCAGGATGTAATAATAAATAATGTATTTTATGCTTCCTATTTGTTGAGTCTACGATACAACTTTAAGAGGTGAGTGGTTAGGGCACCTGGGTGGCTCAGTTGGTTGGGCGTCCGACTTTGGCTCAGGTCATGATCTCATAGTCTGTGGATTCTGGCCCTGCATCAGGCTGTGTGCTGACAGCTCAGGGCCTGGGGCCTGCTTCGGATTCTGTGTCCTCCTCTCTCTCTGCCCCTCCCCCACTCATGCTTTGTCTCTGTCTCTGTCTCTCTCAGAATAAAGACATAAAAAAAAGACGTTGAGTGCTTTCATTATTTCTATGTTATGGATGAGTAGACAGAGGCACAGAGGCGTGAGCAATTCTCCTCTTGCTAATATAGCTAGTAAGTGTAAAAGCTGGGTTTTGATCAAGCTCAGGACCAGAGACCATATTCTTTACCTTGTTTTCATTGCTTCTCACTATGTGCATGAGTGGAAAAGTGAGGAAAAGGAGTGGTTGTCTGACTTATTTCCTCCATCACAGCATGAGGGATTCAGAGAGATGGTGCTGGGTGTTCTTCTCACCTCCTGGGTGGAAGTAATTCATTTGCTCCAGCCAGGTCTTGTCATGGCTCATTAATCCCCTCTCCAGCTGCCCATGGTCCCTTTGTAGCACCTTCAATTAATCCATACCTGGAGCAATGCCAGGGGATGTCTTTGGTTGTCACAATGAAAGGGGGTCTGGGGGAGCTGGGACACACAATCCTGAGGTATGTGGGACAGTCCTGCACAATGACTTTTCTTGTCAAAGTGCCCAAAATGTCTCCATTATTTTTTTCTTTCTTGAATATCTTTCCCACACTCCATTAATCCAAGGCATATACTTTCTTCAGGTGTCAGCTGAAGGCATTGCTTTGAGACTGTAAGATTCAGTCCTCCATGTTAACTATACTCAGCATCTTCTTTTATTCCTCAGATGTTTGTTGAGCTGATGTTAAGCGCACAGGGGACTCCTATGAATTAGTCTCTGCCTTACTGGGGACCTCATCTGGAAGCTGAGGTTTATTCACAGAGCGACACCACAGGGCACCTGATCATATATGAGCACTACACGGTTTCAGAGGAAAAGCACATACTTATTTGCGGAGGGGTAAAAGAACATGAGCTGGCTCTTGACGGGCTGGTAGGATTCCTGATTACCGGATATGGTGGGATGAGCATTCTTGATGGTAGAAATCATTTGGACAAAATTACAGAGGTGCAGACATCCAAGGATGGTTTAGGAAATGGTGAAAGGTTTGGTTGAAATTCATCATAAGCTTGATGCAGGGAAATGAGAGGAGTTTTTAAATTCATTTTTTTTATTTTTTAGTGAGAGAGAGAGAGCTTGCGAGTGGGGGAGAGGGGTAGATGGAGAGAGAGGATCCCAAGTAGGCTCCATGCTCAGCACAGAGCCCGATGGGGGCTCAATCCCACGACCCTGGGATTGTGACCTGAGCCAATATCAAGAGTCGACACTCAACTGACTGAGCTACTCAGGTGCCCCTGAAAAGACTTTTAAGATAAGAATGGAAGGCTGCATTTAGGTTGTGGAGGTCTTCAATACGTGACTGAAGAATTTGGGCTTTAATTTAGCAATAAGAAGCTGTCGCAGGTTACTTGTTTAAGTAAGGTTGTGTCATGAATGAATAAATGGCTGTATGTGTATTTACTTGCAATGATATTTACAATTAAGAGTGGTTATTTTGAGTGTTGTAGTATTTTCCATTATTTCCTTAGTGTTTTATAAAACTGCAATGTTTTTTTTAACTAAGAAAACCTCACTGGT